GTCGTATAAACAAAACATTATCAAACGTTAGCTAACTATGCCATTAATTTTTTTCAATTTATTCAACCGATAAGATTCAAACGTGTTAGTTTCGCAAGCATTCAGTATCAGCGAATTTAAAACAACAATTAAAATGAGCTCACCTTTCTAACCTATCTCCCAATACTGTACTTCTATCACTTTTTATTGGATTGTACAAATCATCTACTTCCAAGGTTTTACTGTAGCCTCTCTTGAACATTCCATATGTATAGCTAAAAAAGAAAATATTGTTATTTATTTTCTTCGATGTAATACCAGCACAAATAATCATATCAAATGAACATTTTCAAAGGAGACTAATATCTATTTCAATATTCAAAGATTTCATTCAGTTCAGAATTATTACAGAGCTAATCACTCAGCACTGTTATGTTTTGATGGAAAATAACTTTGACTTCAATTCAACTCGAAGACTCATACGACAACAAGAACACTTAATTTTTTTTTGGAATACATGGTAATATAAAATATACGGTGTATAGAAAATTCAAATAAACTCAACATCCTCCCCCTTCTTGCAATTAGAACAATGAATACAATGGAAAAAGTTGATGGCCGACTATTTACGTCTGTCTTACAATCACGAATAATCGTAGAGATTTTTTGAAATTGACTATCGATCCACCTCCTGAGAAGTTCTTTCACTATGCTCACCAGGCGCTCTCACCATCATCCCTATTGAAATATTTTGCCGAAGCATCAAAAACTGGCCCAATTTTAGTTAACATACTTGATTTCTTCATAACAGCATTATGGCGTATTTTACTAAAACAATTATCACCATTTCTTTCAGATTGTCATTTATTTCCTCTATTACTTAAATCGCTCAAGACTCAATAGTTTCTTGGTAGTTGAGAGGAGACGTAGTTCTGCTGTATATATGTTGGACTGAAGTGGAGAATGCTCTGGGATCCATCGAAGATGAATTTCGTACCTATTTGATCTTAATGGTTTTATTGAAATGTGCCATTGTTCGCTCATCAATGCCATCGTTATTCTCCACTTTATTACCTTTGAGACGGAACTCCAGGTAGGCCTTCTTGTGCGGTTCGTGAGGTTTCTCATTTGCTCGTAATAATCCCAGTGAGAGGAGGGCTTGCTTCTTTTGAATCTGGTAAAAGCTCTATCACGCAGTTTCATCATGAACTTCAAGTTTGCTGTCAACCATAGAGCCTTTTCTTTCTAAATTCGAACAGTTCTAAGAGGAGTATGGGAATCGAAAGTTTTTAGGATAATCGAATTGAGTGTAGAAGTTTTTTCATCTGTATTCATCATTTGATAAATTGAGTCTAAATTGGCATTCGTAAGATCTACCAAAAAAGCATCATTATCGAATTTTTTTAAATCCCTGTATGTATGCATGGAGGCAAGTGTTTTGGACTGTCCTGTGCCAATTTTGCATGCCACTTGATTATGATCGGAAAAAGTGGAACCATCAACTACAGCACGGTCAGTGATATCTAAAGCTCCGGAACAAAGATCTGGTATTGACGTGACAAAATGTGAAGTTTGACATAAGGAGGCAATTTTACTAAAAAATATTATGAAATATATTATACAAAGATACAACTATTTGGGATCTTGATTTTTTGCAGGTGTATTCGCAACGCCTTATGAGTGATTTGATCCTGAGGACTCAAATCATTTGCTACAAAAATCTGCGTTTCTTTCAATTTATTGATGTTGCGGAAGATTTCTAACTTTTTCCAGCAGGCCAATAATTCAATTTTGAAAATTTTGGCACCATTTTCAGCCGGAAAGTAATAGAAATTGTTGATGAGGGACAAACTGAGTTCTATGTCCAATATGTCGCTCAGATAAGAGAGATAATCCACTGGATCTTCTACTTGAAGGCCAAATACGAGCAAGTTATTTCTGCGAAGTCGGTCGTTTAGTTGAGTTATTTTCCCGTCCAATATCGTATTTTTCTGTTCAAGTGTGGATAATTTGTGATTGACGGTAGGGAGATCACTCAGTATGAGTTCTAACGTTTCCTGTGATTTATCAAATTTTTATCAAGGTTTGACATCAACTTGAACACATCTGCCAGCGTGATATCATTAGGAGTAGGCATTTTCAAAGGAATCCAAAACAACGCACAACGCGAATCGGAAGCAAGCACCCGTACTACCGTCTTATCGCATGTCAAGGTTCTTCTATCTCCGATAAGATTGCTTGTGGATAGTTTTAACAACAAAATTCTCATTCGATATCAATTGTGAGAAGTGCATTTTTGGATGTAATTGCGTAATTATGAAGATGAGACAGCTCCACAATGACTAGGAAAAACAAAGAAATTTTTATATTGAAATTGACTGCCAAAATCACAATAAAAGCGGATCACGAAACGTATTTGTGTCACGAACAACGGAGACGATTGTGGATACTAACAATCGAAACGTCGTGACGTAACTTGGTTTGGAATCTTCCAATTTTCATTTCTTGTTAATAATTTTAATTTTNTTTTTTGGAGTCTGCGCTCAGGTAAATTTCCCATTTGTTGCCAATGTGTTTTTGGGGATGTGCGGAAACATCTGACACATGATCTAATAACTTTCTCCACGGCGTTTTTTCCTAAGATAATCCAATATCTGACACGCAAGTTGCAAAGAGTAGTTTGTATTCCCGCATGGAGTTGTTTTTCATGTTCATGTTTGATGAGAAGTATTGTGAGAGGGTGCCTGGGAGATAAAAGATACGGGTGTTTTTGTAAAGGATAAACGTTTGCATTTTGTATTCTTCCACCTACTCGCAGGAGAAGCTTTTCATCAATGAACGGATTCATGGCTAGAATCTTGCTTGCTTTTTGAAGTTGTTTGCCATTTAACAAATGTGCGATTTCATGAGAGAAATCTGCTTGTTGTGCTATTTTGATTACCTGTATAGTTGCTACTTCTAGCTCTTCTACGGAAAGTCTTCCTGAGACTTTGTTTTCTTTATTCTTCACATTCGAAACAAATCTTAAGCACCATGCTGTAATACGCTGCAATCGAGTGAATGACGAGAATTTTTGGAATATGAATGAATCAATCGTGACTGAATAAGCAAAAGACTTTTCTTGCTTTCTTTTTAGGTCTGTAAAATTGAGAAAATCATCTGAATGATATTCTAGAGGCTTTGGCCAATAACCTTCATCCTTGCTCAACCAAGAAGGTCCATTCCACCACAATGAATTGTAAATTATTTCACTGGCATATTTTCCCCTGGATATTGAGTCAGCTGGATTATCTGTTCCTGCTACGTGCCGCCACATCTATATTGACGTCAAATTCTGAATTTCACTTATTCGATTGCCCACAAATGTTTGGCATTCACTTGGAACCATAGCGATCCAGGCTAATGTAATTGTTGAGTCAGTCCAGAGGCGAATTGCGTGTAATGACATTTTTATTGCATTTTTTACTTTATGTAGAAGTTGTGAGAGAAGTACCGCACTAGAAAGCTCCAGTCTTGAAAGAGTGATGAGCTTCAAAGGCACTACTCTCTATTTTGAGAAGAGTAGGTGAACATAGTGATTTCCTTTGGCATATGTTGTTCGACAATAAATGCAGGCACCATATGCCACTTGTGATGCGTCGCAAAATCCATGTAGCTCAATTCTGATAAATGAATGGAAACTCGATAATTTTCTCGGAATGTGTAATTTACTGATGATGTGGTTCATCCCAAGTGCCGTGATTTTTCCAAATTGCTTGCATGATTATTTTGGCCTTTGTAATAATCGGTCCAACTAGACTTCACTACACTTCACTACACTTGACAGTCGTTCGATATCTCTATTGACCGGGTTCATCGACCGCTGCACTGTGACGATTTCGCCCTTAACTTGATTTCGGTACGATACGAACTTGCAGGTTATGTAATATGTCGTCCTTTCGTGGGACGACATATTACAAAATAACAGTCTATTAATGGACAGGATCGTCTCCAACTGATTAAGTCCCAGTTGACTTGAAAATTGTCCACTTTTTAATTTTTTTTTCACAGATTCCTTCAGGGATTTGAAATGAATTTATGTTGTTTTAGACAATTGAAGTATGAATTGATGAAATACATTCAGTTTCATTCAGAAATTTTGGCATGAAGCGTGTGGCAGCAAAGTTTGTTCCGAAATTTCTGAATTTTGACCAAAAAATCCGTGGCGTGACCATCGCTCAGACTAACGTCAACGGCGATCCAGATTTGCTCAAGAGGGTCATACCTGGTGACGGATCATGGGTATATGGTTATGACATCGAAACAAGAGTATACTTTTTTCAATGGAAGATCCCAGAAGAGCTCAGATCAAAAAAGCTATGTCAAGTTCGATCAAATGTCAAGGTCACTGTTTTCTTCGATTACCGTGGCGTAGCACAACAGGAGTTTTTGCCTCATGATTGTACGGTCAATGATGAGTGTAATCTTGAAGTTATGCGCCGCTTACGAAAAACAATACAAAGACACCCTCCAGCATTTTGGAAAAACAATTTAATGCACCTGCTCACTCGTCATTGCTTGTTCGCAATGGCCAAAAACAACACCGTTATCATGCCTCGGTCACCCATGAAAGGACGGCGTTTTGCGACCATTGAGAAGATGAAAACTGATTGGCTGAGAGAGAGAGCTCAAGGGCATACCAAAAATTGCATATCAGAACTGGAACGAGGATTGGAAAAAACGCCGGCACAAGTGTATTATATCAGAGTGGGACTACTACTTTTTTGGAAAATATTAAAATTCATCTCATTTTTTTGAACAGCCAATGCATCAAAAACTTGTAATTGATTTGTCACTGATGTTATTACTACCACCAACTACTGTATTATATGATCAATTGACAAACTATATAATCAATAAGTCAAAAAAACTATTTGATTCGTTACTGATGTAATTACCACCAACAACTATGAAAATGGTTACATCACTATCATACTACCACCGTAGTGCTATAACCAGCACCAACTTTGGTATTCAATATAGACATCTGGACACAACGGGTCACTTACCTAAAATTGCTTGCAGTAGGGAACTTTTTCCACTACCAACTGGTCCAATGATTCCAACCAATGATCCCTTGTTCACTTTCAAATTGACATTATTCAGAGCAGTATCAGATGAAGCTAAATTCCATTTAGCAGTGAGATCCCTCAGGATGACCGGTTGCTTAGTATTGCTGAATTTGATATCGTTGTTGTTTTGAGTATTCACAATACCTTGGAACTCCTCGCTATTCATAAAACCTTGCAGTCTTTTGATAGAAACAAACAGCTCCGCTATTTCAGATATACCACGTACGAACATGGAAGACATTGTTTGAGACATTATATTGAAGTATGACATGAATACAAAGGCCTAAAAAATACGTTGTACATTATTACTTTCGAATTATATTCGAAACAGGAAAAATTCAAATATTTATTACTGCTTCTGTTCAACAGAAATGATTGATTATCACCTATTCAGGTATTGATGAGATGATTTTTAGAGTGGATTAGAGGTTTTGCACTCAAAGTGATGATACTAGATCTACTATGAAGCAAAACAAATTTAAAAGAATGTTAAGCATCGCATTATATTAAAAGTTTTTCCTCAAAGTCAAGATGCAACATTTTTCTATGGAAGTAACGAAAAAAAGTTTTCCTATGTTGTCGGTGAATACTCTTAGACAAGGCTGGATTTATGGGAAGGGAGTAGCGGATGTCACCCAGTTTTGAATAATTGAAGGTCATACAAGACCTCTGCTATGAGTATATTACCGCTTGACTGAGGAAGAATGGTCGCCTGAAAACAAATTGTTCTTAGTTTTCAATTCGTTATAAAGTAATTACTTTCACTAACTATTGAAAATTTATGTTTATATAAACATTTTATAGCCCCCTTCCCTATTAGAGTTGAACGTTATTGAAAAGGTTTAATCTGGATTTGTGGAATTTTATTCTGTACAATGCAATGATCAAATATGTCATAACTCAATGCGATCAAGAATAAAAAATGACAAGTAAAATGAATTCAATGAAATTCAATCAAATGAAAAATAACCAATTAACTTATTCAATCGAAATAATTCTTGATCTACCTTTCTAGCTGTGATTTCTTGATCAGTAAGAGCCATAGTCAACAATGTGCAAAACAGAGCTGCTCTAGTAGTGAACAAGTTGAAAGTCATGAATAGAGCTCTCACGTATGATGATTTTATCACAACTTTAAGCTCTGCCTTCCTTGCTAATTCGATTAGTTTTTCAAAAGGTTTCTCCCAAGCATACAGCTTGATAACTTGAACTCCAGAAATCACTTCGTCCATCATCCTGACTCTTTCATCTGTTTTCAAAGCGGTTTGTTTTCGGTACAGAGCTGCCAGTTTTCCAGTGTATGCTACAAATAATTTTTATTTAAGAGAATCTAGTACAAATTAACCAATCATTGTATATGATAGAACGGAAAGTTCGAAGAAACATGAAAACCTATCAGAACGCTAAGATGCCAATTTCAATAAATCATTCATATTTCGGTTGCGATTATTTCAGGAGCGCTTTCTTTTATTATTTGATTTTTACCGTCAATGACCTTGAAAATTTCTGCGTATCGCTTCTACGGCAAAAAGCACAAAATTATTCAAGTGAAAACTGATAACATTGACTCAACTATACACTCAATAGAACTTCAACAGTCCTGATAAAGATCATACTGCTCGAGTTGAAGATTAGTTCAGTAGAAATTATCATTATATCTTTCTATGTAGATTGCTTGAAAGTATTGTTAAAGCTTGTCGATCTTTCTTGGTTTGCATAAACTCATGAACATCATGAATACTTTCTTGACCTTGATTATGAATTCCTTTATTTGGAACAGCCTATGTTTATAAACTGGTATCTATAACAAGGGAATGAAAAAATTATTGTCAAACACTCCTTGAGTACAAGTAACATGTTCAACACTTTGTGAGATTTTCACTGGACATGTAATAAAACCGCAAACAATCGCAAAACGTGTTCCGCTATACGTATTGACTCAATTCTATTTGATTTGTGGTTTATATTATAACAATTTGTATATGTAATGACTGATAATTTTATTTTACCTGAGTTGAAATAAAAATAAATAGGAAATAGAAACTCATTTAATGGACATTTAGTGCTTTATATAATAAAACTTTGAATCAAAAGCCTTGAGTTTTTAAACATTTAATACAAAATATCACAGTGACTTTTTTTCAGATTGACTCTGCCGTTACTTGGTGAAGATCCATAGTAATTTCACAAACTACACCTAACGATTTGATCTTCACAAATTTTATTTTCAAAAATTTCAAATGTTTCGCTATCACAGTAGCTTTTTTGTAGTGAATAACATACTGCAGTATGTTGAACAACATAATGCAATATGAAAAGACTAAGTACTGTCATAGCGTAATATGTCGTGATATTTTTGAAAATAAAGTTTGTGAAGATCAAATCGTTAGGTATTGTTTGTGAAGTTACAGTAACTGGATACAGCTCTAATTCAATTGTTAAATTTATCATTTTGTGTTGTGACAATGAAGGCCTTACGATAAAAATATGTTAAATGAACTGACTTCAATCGAATATACAATAACGTGGATCCATATAGACACGGGCTAAGTCGATATTCAACCGAACACTACTACCAATCAAGCGTAAGTTCGTCATCAGCGCCTGTATGAGTTATAGCCGATAAGAAAGTTAACAAACTCTATTACACAAATTGACCAGATGTTAACTAAGTACTTTCGAATTTTACACGTACCTTGTAATGGGACAACGCAAAAAACTGCTATAATTCCCAAAATTCCAGCATAACCAGCTTCTGCCCAGAGAAAGTACATGATGATAATAGAAGACGTAGGCGCCACCCACATGTGATGAATGAATATCGAAACGATATCAAATCTGCTTACATCATTCGATAGCAAATTTACTATTTTACCAGATGCAGTGTCTCCAAGGGCAGTCTTGCTCAGTCTCAGGGCCTGAGGAATAAATATACATGATGAAAATAAAAAATCTGGAAATAATGATGAATTTTAATTTTATTTTATGTTGATAAGTTGATTCTTGATGAAAACGATACAGAAGTTTTAGTGCTTGAAGTTTAGAACTATAAAACTGTTTATAGATTGCAATGTAGTACCTATTATATTTCAGAAGTATTTCATTCGGCCCTTCCCTTGGTCATTCAATTATTCATTGATTCAGTCATTTATTTATAACCAAACAGACTCTAATAGTCTAATTATATGGAATATACGAAAACAATTACCATTCGCAATCACCAGAACTTCAGTGAAAGATGAAGAATTCTAATCAGTTTTTTAATTCCTGAAGATGACAACTTGATTGGTGATACGCGCGTCGAGAAGAGTATTGAAATTCTGGTGATCGAGAAAGGTGCTCGCTTCGGATTTATTCTACGTCAGAGGTTCCAGCTTTACCTTTTATTGCATGGTGGATACGTACACACTTCCTGATTATTTACAAAAATTATCATCACGAACTGTGTAATGAAACTTGAGTATTATCATCTGAATATATTGAAGAGTGTCAAAATGATTGATTCATACACAGAAGTACTACAATGAGTACACTCGTTTTAATTCCATTACAAATATCTGAAAGGATATATTCTTCTAGTTTCTGCATAATCCACACTTTTTTATGAATAATATTAATTGAAGCTTTCAATTAATTTTCTTCCTTCCTTAGAAAGTTTCCCACTTTCTATTTGATGATAGATAAGTGAGTCAAATGTTTTTTTCATAAGAAGAAGAAGGTTCCATATATTAGCTAAACTTCAACCAGTTTCTGATTGGCAATCAATATTGTTTTTGAATATTGAACTATTTTCAAATGATTCCATTTGTCCTATCCAAATCTGAATATTCATTGGTCAAATAATGATGGTTATATTTCACTCAATCATACTGTTACAAGACAGCATTCGTCTTTTTTGTCTAAATGTCAATCCTAATCTAGGGTCACGAGGTGTTTGGGATGCTCATTCACATTCCTACTTGAGTATATCATACCCGCTGTCTTGTAATGTACCACTGTCATATGCCTGTGTTATCCAGACCACCTTTTGAATACATGTGAAGGCAATAATGTGAGAAACAATTCACCTTTTTTTTCATATCAAAGTTGAATAAACATTTTCCAAAAAATTGGTTGCTCTATTGTTTTGAAAAACTGACACTTGTTTTTTTACTAAAATGATTCAACCCCTTAAATTGTTTCATGAATAGGTATAGTAATAATCAAAGCGATATTCATATACATTCTTCCGATACAGTTCAAGAATTTCATGTTATAAATTTCTGGAATTCCTCTCCCTCTCGATGAATACCAGGTTATCTCTTGAAGTTCAACATTTTTGATTCACAAATGTTTTCAGAATTCAACTGCTATCTATGAAACAGAATTCAATTGACCAAAATGTAACAAATATCTCATACAAATGAAATATTTTCAACAAATTCAATTGCCTTTTTTATGACTAATGCAAAAAGTGTCAATAATGTAACTGTCATTTGGAATATCCCTCACGAATGAACATCATTTCAAAATATTTTTGACTTGAGTGATATTGAAAATGTAGTATTCTACTCGCGAGAAATGGCTATTGCTCGCCCCCATTTTGAAACTACATAATCATGAGTAATAGTAACATTTATTCATTGGATAATTTATTATTACTCACTTTTCTATAAATTAAGGCACAAACAGCTGCTCTGACTTTCATCCCATAATGAAAAGCATCCATAATATATTGATTGATGAAAAGAGCACTGATAGTGTTTAAGGCGACTACAGCACCTGCATACCATAAAGCGTCAGTTTTCGTTGTGGTCGTCTGGTTTGGTTTGAAATAATCTAAAAGATATCCCAACATAATAGGTTGTATCAAGCGAAATATTAGATCCATTGTTGCTAGAAGGAAGCCGAGATATAAATATTCTGGCCAAAAAGTGGCTAACAATACTTTGAAGAGGCTCGTTTTTTTGTTTCGTGATTTGCATATCTCTAAATGCTTATTCCAATTCCTGAAAATGAAAAAAAAATTAAAAACTTTTTGAAGTTATATGCCAATCATATCGTATATAATTCAAATAGAATTGATTTCCAAATAATGAACACAAAGTAAAAATTTGAAAATTTGAACATGAGAAAGATGTGTGCAAGATGGGTGCCGCGTTTGGTCACACTCGACCAAAAATAGTATCGTAAAGATATTTCAACTGAGTGTTTAGCAAAGTTCCACACCAACAAATCAGATTTCTTGCGTCGTTTCATAATAATGAATGAAACATAGGTCCACCACTTTACACCCGAAACAAAAAAGCAATGAAAACAGTGGACTCAAAAGAGAGAACCGGATTCAAAGAGAAGGCGAAGACCGTTTTATCCGTAGGTTAGATCATTGCATCGAATTTTTTGGGATGCGCCTGAGATAATGTTCATTGATTATCTTGAAAAGGGTGAAAGTATCAACGGCGGATATTATGCGAACTATTGCAACGTTTAAATGAATAAATCAAGCAAAAATGGCCGCAATTGGCTGAGAAAAAAAGCGTTGTTTCATCAAGAAAATGTACCAGCTCACAAATCCATGATCGCAATGACCAAAATGAACGAATTGAAGTTTGAATTGCTTCCTCATGCACCCCATTAGCCAAGGATTGGCTAACTACACAATGATTTTGCAACAACGAAGAAGTGGTGTCAGCAGTTAAGGGCTATTTGGAGGAGCAAGACAGTTCTTACTATAAAAACGGTATCGAATTTATTGAACGTCTCTGGGAAAAGTGTATATAGCTACAAGGATATTATGTTAACAAATAAATAATTTTTTTTCCAAAATTTTTGTGTTTTCTTTGTTTGTTCGGGTACTGCTTTTAACTGTTTCATAAATATGAATTAATATTTGATTGCTGAACTTATAAATTCTACTCTGCTGAGATTTACAGTGTAAACGGTTATTGCAACTGGAATGTTAATATTTTTAAGGTGCGTATTCATTTGCAACAAAACAGTCCGAACGAACAAAGCGCGCGCGCCCTCTGCAACAAAATTTTTTCCAGCGCGCGCCGAACAACCTGCAACAAACATTTTTGCGCGGAGCGTTCCGCCTGAGTTGTTCGCTGCGATTATACTTGTAATTTCTGTGTTTAGTACTCAGTCTCTTGGTGTTTAGGATGGATGCAAACGATATTGCCGTAGCCGCTGGTACTTTCTTAATTATAGAGGCATTAACGGAGGCTAAAAAAAATAAAAAAAGAAAACAACGAAGAATGTGGGCGAGGCGCCTTTTTTTGCGTCGTCAAAATATGGCATTACTTAATGACCTAGATCATATGCATATGCAAAATTTTACAAGGATGGGTGCAGAAGATTTTGAAAATCTGATATGTTTAGTAGGTCCTAAAATAGCCAAAAATGAGGATTGATGAGAATAAGTTTGAGAGTATGAAGGGTTTGGCACAGAAATTTGTATGGGCATTGATTGATTGGGATATTGAGTGTCATAATCGGCACTAAAGATAATATTATTTCTGTGGTGCTGCACAATAGCTTTGGTTATTTTATTATAGCTCCTTAGCTTATGAGCCACATGTTGACCAAATACTCCACATTCGTCTCTAAGGTCATTATTAGCTGCTGCATTTTTAAGAAAGCCTAAAGCGTGGTCAACTTTTGAGGTTCCTACCAATGGCGATGGTTCAATTGATCTTTTACGTTTTTGGATTTGCTTCACAGGAATGGCAGATGTACGTGGTTTTGGAGATACCGGCGCATTTTCAGTCTGTATTTTGGTTTCTTGTGAGTTGGTGGCTTCTGTGGATACATCTCCTTTATTACTTTCAGAAGGTGGTGCATTATCATTTTCCTAAAACACAAGATTGTTAAGACGATTCGCCTGATTTATACTTTAGTCGATACAGGATGTTTTCAAAGTTGAGTCATTTATTTTAATGGCTTGTAGAACTCGTCAAAAAAAGTTGAAAGACCAAAAATTACCTACATAAAAGTTGCCAAATAGGGGAGTTATTTTACGTTAAAAATTATTTTTAGATGCTCAGCAGTTCCGAAGAATGTTTACAGATTAGTAGACAGTATGAAGAAAAGTGGCAATTTCCTCATTGTGTTGGGTCAATGAATGGCAAGCAGGCCCCTTTTAACAGTGGAAGTGAATTTCATAATTACAAATCGAATTATAAATCGAACTTTTTATGAAGAGTACCTTTCTTATAAAACTAATGGAAAAAAGTTTTCCATATTAATAGCTAAGCATCAATATAGACATATTTGCATATCAAAAGTTTTTTATTTTATTTATTTAGTAAAACTACACTAATTTTAAAATAACATTTAAATTGAAAAAAATGGGAATAAATACTCAAAAACTCACGAAAAAACCACAAACGCGCGTGATGCTCCTTACTCCCGTACTAACTGAAGACCGGCGAACGAATAAATTTCCTTTGTGCAAAACGCATTTACCGACAAATCTCGGAAAATGTTTGGCGCGTTCGGCGCGACGTACTCACTAGGGAAATTTGTTCTGCGCGCGCTGCGCGCTTTCTTCGTTCGGACTGTTTTGTTGCAAATGAATACGCACCTTTAGGTTGAAATAATAGTTGAACTTTTGTAGAGTAATAGTAAAGTGGGTTGTATACTCAGAGTTATAATACATTTAATATATTTTTTATTACTTAGAGGGTTGTATACACAAACCACTTACTCTAGAGTAAGTAGTTTGTGGTTGTATATTGTTAAACCGTTATATTGAAACTTGTGGCATCTTTCTTAAAATAAAGGTACAAAAGATTAGTAAGAATGTGATTCCCATGATTTGTGAAAGATCAATAGGTTCTTACTGATGTTAATATGTTAATAATACTAGGACAGGCTGCGGTTTACCAGGAAACGTAAAATTTATGTATGAAGTATTATTTTTTCATAGAATTCCTGATTAAACTAAATACTAAGAAAGACTTTTTTATAATATTACAAATATCTGAATTACTCTTGTACAAACTCAAAAGACAAGGTAAAAAGATTGTTGGCCATACCATACATTGTACATTTTCCTTCGTCCATTTCAAGAAAAATTTTTGGTTCAGAAAAATATATGTACATGGATATTCTAGAGATTCTTAATGCAAATAAGGTTCTAAATTCAATAAAATATGACATGACATTTGTGGGAAATGCTCTTATACTCGAACAAGTACATGTAAGGTAGCCCCAGTACAGGGCCCTTATTTTTGATTATTGCTTACTTTTGACGAAATGCCAGTTTTTTTCATCTGACAAGGTTATAAATATAAGAGCCGCAAGATATGTTGATAAGGTGATTGTTCAAGTTTGATTGATAACAGTTAGTTTTATACCAGTGAATTTTCTGTAAACGAAATAGATGTGAGTACCTAACTATCTAAAAAATTCAACCCTTCTATACAACCTAAGTATATGCTAATTGTAAAGCCTTTTGCTACCATCATTGTTTGAATAATGGTTTTGCGGGTTAATAGGCCGACGTGTATTGCGAGATGTCATCGACGTTTTGCCAACACGGGTGGCTGGCATTTTCAAAAGAGATGTCCAATCACTATTTACTGTTAAGAGTTCATGAAGTGTATCTATTGGGGAATTAAATCTAACGAAACATTTGGCGTTCGAAGTCAAACCCTTCTCTCCTCACATTTCCACAAAGTGGCAAGATGAGACAAGTATCTGTCCGAAAACTAAAACTTCCTCTCTCTCTATCTTATTGCAAGTATAACGGTCCTCACAAAGGATGTCAAATGTAAATTAAGTAGTTCTTTAATGACAGATATTTGCCTTATTTTGCCATTTTGTGGGAATGTATAGAGACAAGGATTCGATTTTGTCGAATTTTTGTTTGATTAGATTCAACTCTCCAATAGACACATTTTTCGAACTTTGTACGGAAAGTGTGCTCCTGAACTGGGAGAGTTTCGTTCGAGTTGTCAACCTACATTTTCAATGAGTAACCTCTATCGCTTCAATGGTCCAATATTTATATAATTGTGTATACAAATTGAAAATATATACATTTCATATATCAGTTTAGGTCGTAATTGCTCTGATAGAATTTAGTATTTTTCTGTTTGTTCTGTTGGTTGCATAAATTGCTAGGCTTATTACTAAAACTAGATGTTTATTTAATGACTATAAAAATTATTCCATATCAAATAAAAATGTCTCCAAAAATGAACATTGAACGGTAGCCCTGTGAAATTGGTGAATGGCATAGAATCTGTCAAAAATATCCCTAGAAATCAAACATAACACACAAAATTCCCTAGGAAGTTAATTTTGACCGTGAAATAGTTATTACGAACCTTTTTAAAAAAAATTAAGATATGCAGCTGGCATAGTTTTCATTTCTGTACAAGAGCTTATATAAATTTCTACAATTGAAGCGATTGAAGTTTTTCATGAAAAACATTGGTTGGCAACTTGGACGAAACTCTCTTAATAGGTTTGTTCTGGTTCTACGAAATTCAGGTTCTAGGATGTCAGGATCATGCGCAGTTGATATAGAGCGTTCTGGTTTATTGAGGATAATTTCGGACTGATGAATCCTCTGTTCTGGTTTTGACTGCGAAATGATCCTAAACTGTTTTGAACCTTCTCGAGGCTGAACTGTTCCGTTGCTCATGCGCATTCATGTGGAAATTTGTTTGGGCTATTTGCTAGGATGTTTTTTTATTTATTTGATTTCAATAATTGATGATTGATGGTAGATAACATTTGAGCTGACTATAGGGATACGGTACATAACAAAATTGACATGATTAATAGTATTTTCTCGTCTTCATCTCTTCATATATACGATAGGTGGCACAGTGGTCTCCTCAAAAGCGTTTTGGTTTAAACAAGTGTCCGAGACTATTTCGGACTGTTTTTTGTTTGTACGCAGCATGTCTTGCGCAGTTTCCAAACGTTTTGGGATGTTAGAACCAGTACAAACCTAATGAGTGATGATATTTTTTATTGTTTATAGTTTCAGAATG